TTTTATTTCCCCTGAAACTCAAAAATAAGAGTCTGATTATATCATGAAGGAAAATCAGCCTGCCAGTTACCAGATGCCGTGCTACATCTGATGACTTCAAGCAAAGCTGCCTCAACTTTTAATCAATCCAAGGTGACAATTCCACTAAGACAAAAGGGGTTACTGAGAGTGAGAAGACTTTAGAAGGAAGCAGAGATCCAATCTTAAACAGGAAACAAGGTATAAAAAGACCGTTCAAAAAACCTAGAAGGGGTGTGAACTGAACTGTAGGCGAACCTATCTACACCTGTTGAAAGAACATAAATAATTAGTAAGTGAACTATCAGAGTGCAGATGGAGACGTTAGAAGTATAGAGTTGAATTAAAATTTAGAAGGAACCAGGAACCCAATCCTAAACAGGAAACAAGGGATAAACCTCTACTGCTGTTCAAATGATCGGTGTGGGAGTGTGAACAGGACAATAGGCGAATATATTCCTTCTATTGGAGAAAAAAAAGTAAATAAATCGTCAAAAAAATCTCAGAGTTTAGGCGGAAAGTATACAGTTGAAGTAGACTTTAGAAGGAACCGGAAACCCAATCCTAAACCGGAAACAAGTAATAAACCTCTACTCCTGTTCAAAAGACCGAGTTGGAGAGTAAATTGGACGATAGGAGAACCTATCTACTCCTATTAAGGAAAAAATAAATAATAAATCATTAGTGAGTTAAATGTCAGAGTTCAGAGGGAGACGCTAGAATTCTTGAGTTGAAGTAGAATTTAGAAGGAACCAAGAACCCAATTCTAAACAGGAAACAAGGGATAAACCTCTATTCCTGTTCAGGCGATCGCTGAGGAGTATGAACCGGGCGGTAGGCGAATTTATAAACTTCTACTGAAGAATAAAAAAGGAAATGGATAGTAAATAAAATGTCAAAGTTCAGGCGGAGAAGTTAGAAACATAGAGTAGACATTAGAAGGAACCGGAAATCGAATCCTAAACAGGAAGCAAGGGATAAGCCTCTACTCCTGTTCAAAAGACCAGGGAGGAGTGTTTTTAATTTGACATTGAGCTCGACTCTGTTAGGCTCTGTAAATATCTCCATCAAGATGAAAGCAGCCGAAATTCAAGGCTAAATGATAACAAGAATGGCCGGCTTAGTTTCTTAAATAACAGGACTGATTGCGGGGTGGGGAAAAAGGGTTGTCAAGAATTTCTGCCGAGTTTTTGCATGATGATTCTACACGGCCCTTTTGTTTCTTTCCTTTCGCTTTTAAGGAGGCTTTCTTCCTCCTCTGCTGACACGGGATGTTTTCAATAAACGCATATGTTGTCGCATACGCAAAGCTGAGTATCTGTGAAAATCTTTCCGCCCGACGAACACTGGTGCTGATAATCGTCCAGCACATGTCAACCCCCGTGTTTCTTAGCTTCCGCTGACATCTGACAACAGCAGGTAAAGTAGATTTTGCATTCTCGCAGTCACTACGTTTTTCTTCGACTCCTTTGGCGTCATTATCGCCGCCTTCAATCCTCCTAAAGACTATATACGAGAAAATGAGAAAAAAAAAGCAAAAAAAACGTCACTTTAACAGCAACAATATATAAAAAAAGTTATCGCACGTAATCTGAAGGGAAAATAATAATACAATCAGGATATTAACTTTCCACATCACCCAAAACAAAAAGATTGGAAGGAAACTCCCATTATTACGAGAAAGAGTTATAACATTTATTGGATAAGTTTAATAATAAAATAAAAAAAATTTAAAATTTTATTTTCTAAAATACTAGACCACCTATAAATCATTACTTTTAAAGCATTTCCCGATACAAAATAATGGGTCTATAATATTATCAATTTCATTATATTATTAATTACACGTATTTTAATTTGTATTTCCAATACGAATTATTGTCCGTCCTGGGTATGACGATAAACTATATCCGCGTCCTGGGTAAGACGATAAACTACGTTCAAGAGCAAGGCCTCTGGTCAGGAGGTGTTGAGGGGCGTAGAACCACTTCTGAATTGCTCGTGTTCCCAGGTTGGCCCCGGCCCGGGGTGGTAGCACCTGTTAGGATTCCAGCTATGGACAAATAGTTAACCCCGAAACTGGTGTAAAAACACTATGAAGCTGTAAAAATAGGTTTTAATACCAGAAACACTTTGTACAAAAATTATTTCCAGTAATAAATATTTGAAGAAAAAAAAATATTACTAGCGATACATTTTTGAGGAAAAAATATTACCAGCAATAGTTTTTTTTAAAATTATTACACCAACACATTTTTGAAAAAAAAAATTATTACCAGAAATAGATTTTTGACAAAACAAAATATTACCAGCAATGAAAATTTTGTCGGCATTAAATAACCCATTGAAGTTGATATGCCGTAAAACAAAATAAACCAAAATATTATTATATTGTTATAATTATCATTATTCACATTATACAATATTACTAAAATCAAAGTCAATAATATATTAATAATAATTATATTTTTATTACGTATACTTGTTTCTTCCTTACATTTATTTCAAATCCCGTAACGGCAGCAAATCAGCGTTAATCTATTTATTTACCATAAAAGTCATATGACACAATTTTCCATCCATATAAATTACGTTTAACAATGACACACCTACATAGCAGCTTCACCAATCATGTATCCGTGATATTTGTTTATAAAAAAGTTCAAATGTAGTGTTGAGAATTATATAAATATGTCTTATGCACATTTAAACATGTTTAGTAAAGCTGTTATAATGTACTAGCAGTAGAGCCCGGCGTTGCCCGGGGATGTAACAGTAAGAGATAGATCAAGTATCGACCATCATAAAGACTGAAAAATAAAATTGACAAAGATTATTGTTTAAGGTTGACGGACACGCATGTCTTAATTAGTTTTTTGTTTTTGTTTTTTTTTTACGAATTGGTCAAACCCAAACTCAAACAAAAACATTGTTTTCAATCGTTATGAGTCTACCGATTGAATAGAATTTTATTATAGACAATTGTCTTGTAAATGGAATTTTTAAAGCATTCTGAATGTAAAAATAAAGAAAAAAGTGTGCAAGACAATAAGAAACACTACCTGACAAAAAAAGGTGAAGTTTTGTTGAAATCAGTTGAAAAATGTAGGAAATCCGATCCCATATATAAACGAACACACACACACACACACACACACACACACACACACACACACACACACAACCTGGCTTTTATAATAAGTATAACTCGATATGAGTTGTCCCCCTTTCATTCTCGCGATGCCTTTTAATCGTGTTTTCAAATTGATTTCGTGCAAAGATAATTGTGTTTTTCCAATTCGGTTGAAAAATGTAGGAAATCCGATTCAATATATAAACGTACAACATACACACACACAACCTGGTTTTTATAATAAGTATGATTATGCATGTTTATTATTCTTCACAGAGATAACAGTTGGAATATAATACGCAAGTGTTTGTTTATATACGCAGATTGATATTAGAAAATGTATTGAAAACAAATACTGCAAAATGGCCCTAGCTCAAGAACCCCCTGTCTAATTTTAATGAAATTTGGCACTGAACCCGGCAGGGGTTCAAGGTACAATATGCTACTAAATTGGTTGGGGTATTATATATCGTTTAAGCTGTATCTCGGACACACACACACACACACACACACACACACACACACACAGGATTAGAGTTTAAATATTATATGAATTATTCTTACGACTTATAAATCTTGTTTTTTTTTTTTTGAATTAGACTTCTCAAGTTCACTAAATGTTATAGCTGTTTCAGCCGACAGACAAAATTATATGACAAAAAGTGAACCTTTGGAGAAAACGATCAAAAGAAGAAAAATCATTTCCCTAGAACAGGCAATAGGACCTGCCCAAAGAAACACCAGTGAGAAAAGCTTTTGGACAATGTTTCAGACAATGCAATAAAAAAAAAGGTCTCATCTAAAAATTTCATAGCTACTAGCAATTAAAGCACATCTTGCAAATCAGAATATTCTATTTGACACTTCAAATCCATCATTTTTCCTTTAACTGGAGAACTTAGACTCAGAGAACTGCAGTTGTAAGCAGCATACGAGACTTCTCGTGTATTAATTCAATTTTTATGCATTAAATATTACTGTCGCATCTGGCCTGTTGCTTCTGTTTTCTATTTCGATCTCATATTCTTTCACACTCAGTAACTCATTGCGTCTTAGTGGCTTTATTGCCTTGTTTGTAGTGAAATTACTAAAATAAACAGATAAAATTTTACCCCGAAATTTTAGAATTTATTAAGTTAACAGTAGCAGATGTGCCTGTAGAGTAAATCATATCAGCACAAATAGTGAAATCTGCGAACCGAGTTCTAATCCCAGTCTAGTCAGTTGCGTTTACTTTCGCACTGATGCCCTTGAGAAAGGCATTAATCCATATCTTCTTATTTCTATGGGTTAAAGAGAGGGGTAGACTGAGATTTCTAGCCTTGGTTGGCAGTCTTACGGACGGAAAATCTCGAATTCAAAACCGTCGAAAAACAGCGAGAAAACACTTCACTATTTCCTAAGTATACAAGACTATTCTTCTATTCTCAGATTATAAAAAGACAATGAACCTGTGGACATGAAAAAAGCTTTGGAGTAAAGGTCGAGAAAAAACGAAAATGATATTGATACACCCTCATATAATAATAATAATAATAATAATAATAGTGCAGTCATAGATTGTCTTTAGTTTGTTGCCGTAAATGTCGATTAAAAAACGAAAATAATTTTGATACGCTCTAAACTATAATAATAACAGTAATAATATAATGGAGTCATAGATCGTTTTCAGATGTGTTCATGAAATAAGCTTTAGAGTAAAGGGCTGTAAAAAAGCGAAATACTTTTATAGATACAGTCTTGATAATCGCCCAAGAAGAAACTAATAGCTATAAACCTGAAATTGATTTGAATGTTTTCTATCATGTCCATATTTTACAAGAAATACTTTCACGCCCATATCACTTGGTTCAATCACCGAAGTTAAGCAAGGTTGAGCCTGGTTAGTACTTAGATGGGTGACCGCTTGGGAATACAAGGTGCTGTTA